GATATCGTCATCAGGCATTGATTGTCAGTGAAACATCATACAATTTCTCCATAGAGTCCATGTAACAAAACAATGTATGTCTATTTAAAACTAAACCAATTCCATGCTTTTCCAATAATAGTTTCCCATTTTAAATCTGTTTTGTTTTGAAACAAACATTTTTTTAGTCCCGTTGTGAAGTTTTAATCAACATCCATCATCAATAAAGAACAAACACTATTGTCATAACTTTTGATGTCATCAAGGGCTTTCATCTCACAGCCTCCATCGCCATCAATAACTGATCGGATGAACCCTCTCTCCGTACCGTGAACTATATAAACATTACTTTGGTCCGATTAACACAGTAAACAATACCCTATAATGAATCTCTCCTGGGTAAACTCCCCCAATTTATTTCCAATGTTTTCCCGTCGCTTTTCCAACACAACCCATCTGTGTTCTTTATTGACTTGAGCTCTAGATGATCTTCTGCCAAATATTTTAATGGCAATCCTAATTTGGGTTGATCGGACTGTGAATTAGCCTGTCATTGGTAAACCCAATCGTCCACTTGTCTCTTGTTTACAGATGTCAGATCACTTAGCTTTCCACTTCCCCTGGCCATAGCTGGAGTCCATATTACAATGCTTATAATAGAATGGCTTAAAACTGATGAAACAGCTAGGGATTAAAAATAAATTACAATGAAAACCAGTGTGCACTATATTAAGCTAATTTATCAAGCCAGTTGATTTTAGGGAAACAAGTTTTTCTCCACTAAACTGTTTGTATCAGACATTCATGTGTTTCACAATCCAGCGAACACTTTATGCTGGGATCAAAGGTGGCGATCCTGATGATTCTACTGTGTGTGTATACATTTACTTATTGAAACTGTGGCAAAATCTATTTCAACAAAAACTTTATTTCTAACCTTTCATGTTGTCTGTCAGTAACTCTCCCTCAGAGATAACTTTTTGTTGTTAATCTCTGCCACAACTTTTACTTTTTTCAGGCAATAAATTGGAAATGATGCATTTCAAATAGAGGATGAAATGCTCGTCTTTTCTAAAAGGAAAAGGTTTTCCCTTGCCTGGTTGTAACCAAAGAAACTGTTCTGTGGTTTCGTGTATTTTTTTTGCGAGATCGAAAATGATGATCTGTGATGGCACATAAGATTCCACAACATCACATGCAGCCTTGTTTCATCAGTCGACTGTAAAACTGGGGCCTAGATATTTTCTTCAACGATACAGGATGAGTTGATATTATCAGTGATTAAAAGGTTTTTTCTTTACGTATCATCGGGCAAATTATCACAACAACCGATTTTTGTCAGACCGAGCACTGTGTCTGTCTATAAATAGCCGCAGTATGTAGTCTCCGGAGTAACAGATATAATCTTCGTCCATTTTGTTTCTAGAGCTAATGAGTACAGGCCAGTAGATTAGCTAGCTCAGTGGTTTGGGACCTGTAGTTGTATACAGAGATGCACCAGACATGTGTTATCAAAATTACATAATGTTATCAGATCATCCCTGGAGATGGGTACATAAATAACACAAAACACGATTTTTGTTACCCCCCCCCCCCACTTGAATTATTCTGTTAATGATTGTATAAGGAAATTCTTTTATGGTTCTAATGATTTTGACGATATAAAATTGCGAAACAATTTATAATTTATACAAAATACCCAACTTAACAGCATTTGTTATAAACAGCAGAACATTAGAAATTAAGTAGATGTGTTTTATTTTAACATATTTTCTATCTTTCATTCAAATAATTGTTCTATGCAAATTTGTTTATTGTGGCCTGTGGTTTGGTTTGTATTTTATATCCTATTAACAGCTATGGTCATTTATGGACGTGCCAGATTTTGGTGGCGGAGTACCTGGTGACTGCCCCACGTAGGTCTCGAACCCGCGACCCAGTGGTGGCAGGCTAGTGGTAGCAGAATGTCAGACGCCTTAACCACTGTGGTTTGACGCATGTGTACTTCATATACATGTAGAAGAATGTTTTTGACAGATAGTCAATTGCAAATAAAAGTAAGCTATAACCAAAAAAATCCATATCACTTGTACTAATACCTGTACTTTTTACACCGTTATCAAATTTGAAACATGTAATGTGGCTTTTGCCCTGTAAAAATAGACTCGCAGATAACTTGTTTAACATATGAGCTACATACAGATAGCAGTTTTAATGGCCTCAAAAACTTGTAGCTGTGTTATATAAATAAACAAGACTTTATCTCCCCCCCACCCCCCTAGCTTTTCTAACATTGACAAAATGTGGGTTTTAAACTGATAATACTTTAGAGGGCATATGTATATTAATAAGTAGACCACAATGTTTTTTCTTGATGTTTCCTCAGTCTACGTTGTCACTGCCAAAACCACAAGTGATAAGCGTAATGAAAACAAATACTTTAATGTTTGGGGGTTACGATTACAAACGATATCTAAATGGGAATTCATGGCTCCAAGTATTTTCTGAATTGTATGTATAGCTTTAAACCACAAGATGCTCCAAGGAATTACATCTTCTGTTATATACGCCCCTTTGATATTTTACAGTCTGAATCTCTTTTGATTGTATTTCAAACACTGCTAAAGCTTAGAATAGTTTTGATGCAAGGTGCAGGCTTTGAGTTATTGTATTAACTAGGAAATTAGGAAAACAATAAAATTATGGGGACTGAACTTTTCTAATCTTGTTTGAAGAAAATTTCTTTCAAATATTAACTTGAATTTGGAGGTATTCGACTCCTTATGTGGTTCAATTTGACCATAGTTCTTGTGCACAATATTTATTCCATTAGCATCATGAGTGATGCTGTTTTTACTGTTTCTGTGTCAAACATACCCTTGATCAGGTTCTCTAACAAGACACACAGCGCACATGTTACACAAAAACATATGGTTCTCGCTACAGAATGTGGTTGCCTTATCAACTACCTGTGGCAGTACATCGCTACCTGACAGAGCGCAAGGTGCCCGCTGTCAGCCTAAATCATCCCTGATAGCTCATCACAATGTATTAGTCCTATTTGTCTCACCAGCTTGACAGCACTGTCATACTTACTGAGTATGGTAACTTTTAGCAAAAGCTTTTCCCTGCAGAACAGAGCATTTTCAGTATTTCTTATTGGAAGTACATTCTGTTAAACTTGTTGATATCTTGTGAAATATGGTTGACTTTTTATATATTTGAATTGAATATGTATTGGTCTAAATTGTCCCCCTGTTTTAGCCGAACACAAGCCTTTGATAACACTTGATGTCTTGTGAATTTTACTTTCGTATTATAACTTTGTTTGCCAATGATTGTATACGCGGCTTTGAAATTAAGATTTCTGAGGAATTTGCACAAGGCTTCAACAGTGTTTCATTGATTTTACTCCAAACATTTGTTTTGTAAACAAATAATGCAACCACTGAATGTCATTTAAATAATAGACCTCATAATGAAGGTGAACTTTTCTTAGGACAAACGTCTAAAAAATTGGCCCCATATGTAGGAAGATAAAATGGTAAAATTGTCTAATAGGTTTCATATTGATATGTCTGACGTTGTCAGCGACAACGACTCAGGCTGACAACGACTTGTTCACAGGCTTTACTTGTCCACGATTCTCATCCCCCAATAAACATCCTAACCCACTAGTTAAGACGCCCCCCATATTGTAGAGAAAACATCAAAACAGGCACATGTGGTCCCACTTCTCAGCTAGTGTTTGATAATATACACATATCAAAACAACATGATGCAAGTCTGGGGCTCAAGGTTGCAACTTTTAGTGGCCATAATTCTCAGTAATTACTACTGCATCATTATATAGGTAATCCAGCTTTCAACAGGATTAGATGGCATTGCTGATATACCTAGTTTTAAGACATGCTTGGGATCTAGGGAACAAAGCCAGAAATCCTTTAGAGCCCTATCACCAAGTATCTGCATGCATACTCTTTATTCTTTTCATGGAGTTGCATCATGAATTGACCTTTTTGTTTAAGATACTAAAACAAACTTTCCGTTGCACACACAAATGGCAGATTTTATAGTATTTCAGTACTTTGCTAATTTTACTGTCCTATTATAAAATGAATTTCTGTAACAGGAAACTTTGTAGCAACATATTTTTTTTGAAAAACAAAATAAGCATAAAATAAAACATGAAAGGTAATCAATTTTTTCAGTAAAACGTTTGTGAGATATGTTTTTTTGCTCAAATTGGGACACTTTTTGATTCAAGTGTATGCAATAAACAGAGCACAATAGCAACATAATCTACTTATATGTATGGATTTTGCATATTCCAACTTATATCTGCTTACCAACATATTGATCCTACAAAATTACAGAAGTCATTGAAATCATTGCTGATAACCGTCAGCTTTTTGATTTTTTTTTACCTGAATCACGCTGGATCTGATTGGTGGATCTGGTATTCTACAACCTACATTCCGTGACCTAAATAAGTCTGTATGCGTACGCACTGAGCCAAGGATGACACATTGTGATGAATATATTGACAATCTACATATCAACTGTTACACCATGCATACCGAACAGTTAACACGGAGTTAACAAAATCGTTATAATGAACCAGGTCTAAATGCTTCAATAACTTTTCAAGGCATGCTATTCCAGGTGTAAGTTATTCATCTACTTATATTATAGAGATTTACATCATAAAGTGTTTAAGTATACTTTCACAACACTGAAGTGTTATAATGTTTTGTCCGGCGGATTGAAAGAAAATTTATTGAGAAGGGAGATAACTCAATATAAAATAGGTCATTCAAATAGTTTAACATTCTCAAACCCAGTTTCCAAGTAAAAAGAAAGCAGACTCAAAAGGCAGATGACTAAAACTTGAACAAGCTACTCAAGAGCTGTAGTGTTTAAAACACCTTCAGAGGAAAATTGGTTGACAAGGGAGTTAACTCAAAATAAAATGGGGCAAAGATTTGCGAGGCCAGAAGATTGTGCCAAGATGTACTTACCATAGCTTGTTCTATCTTGTTGTCAATGGCGACCGTACTTGACCCACTGAAAAAGATAAAAGTAATAATTTTGGTGAGCAGGTGGACATTTGTGACAGGTGTGAGTAAAAGAGACGACAGCTTGTCCATCACCCTACTGTATATGGTAAGGTAGCTCAAGCCTTAGGCACTTCACTTGTCACCTAAATGGGAAAGAAACGTAATAATCTGCAGTGAAACTGGAGGTCATGTGAGGTGACCATATTTCCTGCCAACCGGCCATGTTCTAGGCTAGATCTGTCGCTGTGAAAGTGGCAAATGTGGCGCAAAGATGAAGCAAGTTAATTGAGTATGCAACAAATAGCTAACAATTTTTTTATTTTTTTTTAGATTGGTCTTAATGCTAAACAAATACACTATCAAAAGTCATGTTCTGAAATGTTTCAACTTGCACATCTTCTTCATTGAACATATTGGATCTTGTTGAATGATAATGGATGCACAAAAAAGCTAATATTCCCTAATTTCATATTTTAAAATAAATTCATCAATTTGATCAATTATCTCTTTATAATAGATTTAGAATACAAAATTGGCAAGTCATTACCTATGTGATTGAAATAATTCAATAACTATTACAGAGCATGCATCTACTAGGAATAGCAAGGTTGTGTACTTAAAACACTTTGCACTTGAAAGCCCCAATCTTTTTGGTCCCATCACCTTTACCTAGCTAACCTATCACAATTGTTATACATTTCCATTTAAAATTGGCCCAAAGCATTCGGGTGCTGCTTAGGAGAATTCTATAGCAGGTTTAATACATCTCAAAATCACCCTGCACTGTGTACAGGTAGGTAGTCATTACTGTCTATACAGATAATATTGTTTCCCCTCATAAAAATAATCCCACATTTCAAGGTATTTCTGCAATACACAAATACATAGAAAGGCCATTATAACAGAAAATGTTTTCCTCTTGTTAATTTTCCTTACCATTTACAAAGCAATTATCATCCTTAATTGATTCAATAGGATGCTGTAATTGTTTCCAATGAACAAAACACAACATAAAACTGCCATGAAATTATACATTTATTACTCTTCTCTCCATTGTGGGCTGATTTAATGGTGTGCTTTGTAGGAAGCAGCTATAGGGACTTCATGTTTACAAGTTCACGCACTTAAAAAACCTTAGACCACCTAATGTTTAAATAAAGTTTTCAAGACAATAAATACTCAATAATTAAAAAAAAAGGTTCTGCATCCAAAACTCTACAATTTTGTTATTTTATGTCTAAAATTAACTGATCTTATACAAAAAAAATATTTCATTTTTCTATGCATCACTTATTATTTTTTGTTCTATAGACAAAGTCACAAGCACAGTGCTTTATCTTTGAACCCAATTAAGGAGATTAATAACTGGTTAACATATAACGTGTTACCTTGGATGGTAAACCATGACTTGATCACGTGAAGGCTTTTTTTGTGGAGTTCTTATACACAAGTATTAAAACATGTAACATAAGAATGCCTGAATGTGTTTACTGAACAGATCAGCTGTTATATTTAAGCATGTGGGTATCAGCTGATTGGATTTTGAATATCAATACAAACTTTAAGCTAGCTATTGGTTGTATAGGATTTGAGGAGGGGTGAGGGAGGGGGGTGCTGTGTCATGTGTTATGGTGTAAACAGTATACATAAGTTACCAGAAGGTGAACAAGTCAGTACAGTAGAGTCAATAAGTGTAACCCTGACCTGCCTATGTAACAGGCACGATGTTACTATCTATGGCCATTGGAGCATGGGTTTATATCATTGGGTGTAAACAATATAATCCAAGGCCAAGGTCAATTGGCCTGCCTGGCTGGAGAGGTGAGCGACCCCTAGTCTGGATCCCTCCTCCTCTCTATTGTAATACACCACTATAGGGTGTTTGACCGTAAGTAGGGGTCAATGGTAATCAGGGGGTCAGTAACCCATCCAGCTCCTATTGAATGAGATGTAACAGGTTTGTTTACATAACATCATGTGTTTAACAGTACAAGGTCATCAACAGCCTTCTCCATTGATAAGGATAGCTAAGACATATGGTAGCTGACAAATGCCTTCCCTAACCTTTCTCTGTGTATGTCCCTTAATTATCCCTCCATCCATGGAAAAAAAACCTACATGTATAACCATAATAGATTTCAAATCAACAATTAATTACTTGCTTTCTGATGAACGGGTTGGGTGGGGTGGGAAGCTGCTGTTGCTGATAATGATAAGGAGTTTATTATAAAGAATCAACTGGTGCTCTATCTGTATTAGGATTAATGGCAGTGGGACAGAGGTTTCTCCATCTGATCAACACCAGGCAGAGGCCTATCAAATCAAATCTCACTAAAACCAATAATTACTGACAGAGCTGTAAAACAACAGAAAGCAATAGAGCCTTGTCAATAAAGAGACAGCTAACGAGGGTTCATGCACTGTAAATATCCCCCCTCCCCCATAGCCTCCCCCCTCCCTTTTGTGCGAGTGTCCTACTAAACCTATCAATACCAGTCCCATTAATGCTTATAGATGGCCTTGGACATGTACACTAAGTTTACACTGAGAGTCCTGTACAGGTCAGCTACCTCAGCAATGGGTCTAGGATCAACAGTACATTCCTGTTTTTGAAGTGACTGACCTTCTGGGTTCAGGCCAAACTTTGTCAACACCAAGAGAAGACAATCTGCCTTGAACTTGGTGTGTCCTTGACCTTGGCACAATCTAGTGTATAATGACCTTGAAAACATGTACAAGTCACTTATTATGGTGTGTCTATGTACTTTATCTGGGACACATCAACATGTTGAACTTTGTGTGTATGCTCTATCTATCATAACTGATTATTTATATACACCACAGACTTTATATCAACATCCTTATCTGACACCGAGTTCATCAAAATGCATAAACTTATAATAACTTAAATGCATATCATCCTAACTTTGTCTTCCCTGTATAATAAAGACATTAAATTCATCAAACATCTAGTACAATATGTATAGCTCCGTTTACCTTTAGCATAAGGCAACCCTTCCCGCTGCTGAATGTGCATATTTTTAGAAGTTAGGTGCTTTTAAGAGTCAGAAAACAGTGCAGTCTGCTAAATGCGTATTATATTTTAATCGTTACTGCCATATAAGATGATTTAGTACCTGGAATATATAAACATGACCAGCCACATAACATTACTTTCTGTCAGCTATTAAGGGAAACAATCGTCTCTACGTATGTCTTTAAGGTGCAGCATACATGATTCACGTGCAACACATGTCCAACTCTGCTCTAAAAAAACACCAAGATGATATATTCAGTTTCCCGAGGAAATTAATGACTGAATGTGTGGAAAATTTTGCTTCTAGCGCGACAAAGAAAGGTTAATAACTTCAGTTTTATTCATGCATGAAAACCAAACTCTCATCTATTTCAGCGGAAACCAGGAGCAATTAATTGTTGCGGTCTGATGTCAGGTCTGCAGGTTCTGTCGAAATAATTTTCCATTTATTCTCAAATATTCCAACACGTTCCTTTACCTCTGGTGGAAATATACTGCGACGGACAACAGTTAATCAATGCTAACTGCTGCCAATAATGGTTATGGAAAGTGGAACTAATCTGAACCAATCAACATCTGCTGCAGTGGTGGTCAATCAGAGGCATTTCGACTGGTCATTAGTGACCAGTATCTCAATGGTCAGTGTGGTCAATAAAATCTGTCCCCAGACATTTAAATCTTGAAAAGCAATTTTTAGAGAGACGATATACATACTGTATAAATTGGCTTCAATTGTTGCATGTCATTTCTTTCCCGTAAAAACAATATTGTCTTTAGATTTAAGTACTTATGTGTGCGATGTCCATTGACAATACCTTTTATTTGTTGGACATGAAAGGCAATAAGTTTTCATGTCCAACACAAAAAGGTATTTATTGAGTAAATATATTTGTGTCAAAAGACCTTGGAAATATACAATGGTTATTGGGTTTAAAACCAGGGTCTATATAAACTGGAGTGAACCTAAGGAGGACCTTAGTTTGACCTTACAGAAACAACAAGTGCAGCCTTATCTAGTGTATATCACCCAGGACACACAGATCTAATAGCTAGTTAAGTAATAGATCTATTTACTTGAAACAGCCCAGGAGTATACAGAAGATTGATCGGAGGATGCCTTCTAGACATGGTAGAATATTAACTCGATAGTTTTCAGTAGCAGGCCAAGAACAATTCTGTTATATCTATCTAAAATGCACAATAACACTCTTTCCTAAGAATTTTATGAAAGTGCTGAACCAAATCCTGTAAACACTTTTTATTATCTAAAACTGGAGACTTTTAGCTGTATGCAGTTTTTGACCGTAGTAAATTTGTGTATACCAGCTGAACATTAAAGGTCATTTGATAAAATGTTTAGGGTAGCATTGCTTGGCATGTGGGAGACTTGTGAAGTGAACACAACCCTAACATTGTATTTGGTCTGTTATCACCCGTTCCCTTCTGTCCTCCAAACCCGTCTCCTTTACCTTCACTTGTCCTTCAAACCGCCACAACCAGTCAAACATTAATGCACGCTTCCAGGACATGAACCTATTTTACAATCTTTATAACAAATTTGTGCCAAATACAAATTGCTTCTCTAAAACTTTTGCAGTCAAAATAATTGCAGCTCTTAACTTTTATTACTGGTAAATCTGTAAGTCAATGTGATATGTCCAAACTGACTTTCCATGTCTGTACAACAGTTACTGTAGTATGCAAACATTCATTAAAAGTATGGTTAAAATATCACCTGCAAAATGTAATAACTTTAGATCCGACCTTAATAATACAGATTTTCAAGCAGTTTCAATTTTCTACCATATATAGAAGAGTGATCAAGATCTAGGGTTGGAACAGCTAGTTTAGGGTGTGTAAGGTTTAATAAGCTCATTCTGGCATTGATACGACCTGTATTGTAGTTTGAATGCTGACATAACTGTGCTTGGAATATATTATACAGTAATTAAATACGACAGGATCAGTAT